TTGCTTTTAAAGGCAGCGGCTGGAAATTTAAGGTGTCCCAGAGCCATGTCTTCCCGCAGCGCTCCTCGCCGCTCTCCGTGGATAAATGGTTGTTGCAGTTCCTCGCCGTGTAGGTCTGAGGCGGTTGGGTTGCCGTTAGTTGCTCTTGGGTTTGTTTTGGGTAGGTACCTGGCTCTAGTTCTTCCTCGCTCTCCCCTTTTGCTCCTGTGCTCTCCTCTCTCTCCTCTTTAGGGAGGCAAGGGTTAAACTTTAGGTTTTAATATTTATTATGCCGTTCTTTTAAAGTAAGAAACATCTGGGTTACGAGGTGTTTTCTTCCGCTGGGGAGGGATGGTTAACGCTCGGATTGCATGCCTGCGCAGACTGCCGGTAGTCACAAGAAACTTGGGTCTTCCAAGGAAGGTTGCTCCCAGGGCAGTCTGCGGAATAGATAGTTGCACGTAGCTTTATTGAGATGTTCCTTAAAAAGTTATTGTGTCCTTGCACTGTGGATGTTTTCCATTAAATAAAGTCGTCTTGTTTGTTTCAATATTTGTTTTCAAACTAGGGAACATAATTTACTGTGTCTTACAGTCCTGAAGACTGCAAAAAGTTTCTGGTAGGCTGTGGCCTCTGAATCCTTTCCTATATAGGTAGGTAGGGGGTGCTAAGCATATTGCAATTACTAGATAGATGAAGGAAAACGTTTCCCTTGTGGAGCAAGCTGCTTTTTATAAATTTCTGGGATTAATTAGAATGAAGTGTTTAAAAAGAATGAAGGGAAAAAAAAAATCCCCCTCCTTGAAAAGCTTTTGTCTCCCATTTCTGTTGACAGGTTGTTTTCCAGACACTATCTTTCTTTTTTTTTTTTTTTGATTGCAAGTGCTTAGTGTCCCGCATTGGAAGACAACAGCTATGAACTGAATTCATTGCTCATCCAAGACACGTTCTTGTAACTAGAGTTTGGATTACTGCCCGAGCCTGGGCTTTGGAAGATTTGTTTTAAATAAGTGCCACGCCTCCCAGAGAAGGAGGGAAAGCACTGTATAGGGGAGTTGGGCTCCACATCAGAAGTTCTCAGGGAGCTTAAAACTTCAATTCCTACGAAGTATATTCAATAATTTAGTAGACTTAAAGGTTTATGGAATGGACGTGCTTGTTAATAAGTGCTGTATAGGGGAAACGGGTTGCACAGTCTGTAGATTTCCTTCTTTCTTACATTTAGCGCTGTCGAACTTAGCGAATACCAGTCACTTGCGTTCATTTTTTTGCTTTTCAGCTTAACCTCGTAACGGCGTGACCATCAGTATCAGATTTTGTCAGCGATGCTGCTGAACTCTTCTTCTGGTTGTTAGGCAGGATCCTTGCTTTCTAAGAAACTACCGCAGACAGGTCGTTTTTAGTAATTCCTGAAAACTTCTTCTCTGAGAAAGATATATTGCATTTTATCGCAGCCGTTCCTGTTTAGAAATCAGTGTCTCGGTTAAGCCTCTTATTAGTTTTGGAGTGTGGTGTATGTGAGTCAGAGTGGAAAAACTTTCTAAAATTAGACGTGCATTGTTAAGAATTTTATTAAATGAGTTGCATCAGTGTCTTTTTACATTACCATTTTAATGGGCAATTCTCTGTATTCTCAGTATTGTTAGCTGACTAAAAAAGGGCTCGAGAGGCAAGAAACTTTTCTTTTCAACGTTTTTATGCCTGCGAGCATACTAAAAGGTAAACTGGCATGTTTGTAGGTAAACCAGTCTGCTTAAATATAGCCTCTTTGTTCTTCTGTTACCTGTACTAACAGAACACTGGGCTTGCATTTTCCCCCAAGGAGAACAGGTGTATTATGGAGTTTCAGCTTCTTACATCAGAACTGAAGCGGAGCCATTATTTGAAAAGCATCTTATTTTTGAGATTAATATGTTAATGGCTAAAATTATGACCCTGCGCTGAGCTGAGTACAAACAGATGTCTCTGCTGAGCGTGTTGCAGGATCAGGGCCCAAGCTGCCTTTTGGAAATCGGCCTCAGTGCTCTGGGAACTATTATTTCTTTCATTACCTCTGTGTTAAACGAGGTCGGTAAGTGTGTTAGATTCTTTTTTTAATGAAAAACTTATGCAGCGTATCTGGAAAAGAAATTCATTCTCTGATTTGCTTGGCATAGTTCTAGTCTTAAATGTTGGAAGGTAGGAAGAGGAGTCACTCCTTTGTAGTCTTAGAGAAATGGGTCGTGTGAAATGTGCCCGCCTGTCTTAACAAGTGAAGGACAACGTTGACTGCTTTCTCTTTCTTTTTAACTTGCTCTATGCGGAAAACTTGTTGTCTGGCAGGTCCTAGGATTTTCTAATGTTTTTTTTTTTTTTTTTTTTTTGGTAATTAGACTGATCAGCAGAGAAACTGATACCGTTGCTCTGGGGTGGGAAGGGCCAGCAGTCTGTGCGAGAGAACCATGTCTGTTCGGGAGTCGTTTAACCCAGAAAGTTACGAACTGGACAAGAGCTTCCGTCTGACCCGATTCACTGAACTGAAAGGCACAGGCTGCAAAGTGCCTCAGGATGTCTTACAGAAACTGCTCGAATCTCTACAAGAAAACCATTTTCAGGAAGATGAACAGTTCCTGGGGGCAGTTATGCCCAGGCTGGGTAAGTAGTTGCTCCTCTAGACACGTGTGATCCTTCTGTTGGGTCTGCTTAGTGACACGATCTCATTTGCGGTTTGTTTAATCAGTTTGAAAGTTGTATGTTGTATAATGCACGCATAGCATCCAGAAATCTGCAGAATGAATCTCGCGTTGTCATTTGTTGGCATCTGGGATACAAGAATATTATTTTAATTATTTAACATCCTGCAATGCGCTCAACTACAAAGAAAAAACAGTCAGGAGTGGCCATCGTCATAGGCACATGCTTAGGAGTTAGTCTCCTCCCTTTCCCCGGTAGGTGGTTTGCAAACTGAAGTCATATCAATTAATTTCTGGACTTCTATATTAATATGTTGCCTTTGGAAATTTATGTAATGAATTTTGTGCAATTAGATGACTCACAGGTGAAGCTCCCCTCTCCCTGCCCTCCGCTCTGTTCCTG